GGGGGGGGGCGGGGCGGGGCAGCTCTCTGTCCGGACCAAGGGGAAGGAGGGGGTTGCGGCGGTGCACTGTGGGGAGGATGTATGGGAGCCGGTATGATGGAGGCGGGTTTGGCGGCAGCGGTGCAAGCGGCGCCGCCTACACGTACACGTACTCGGACGAGGGCGAGGGTGGGGCCGGCGACGTGTCGTACTCGTACTCGTACTCGTACGTGGAGACGGTGGATGACGAGGGCTCTTACTACACAGAGGCCGAGGGGCTTGATCCGGAGCGTGATTTGCAGCGGCTAGCGCTGGATGATCTGTATGCGCAGCTGGAGGAGGCCGTGGTCGAGACGCCCAACTATCTACTTGCGCTTGCGGTTGTCCGAGCGCTCGCCCTCGTCGACGCGTCGGATGCGTATGGCGCAGCAGCGTTTATGGCGCTGGCCGAAGACGGCTCGCGGCAGGTGGTGTCTGGGCTAGCGCGAATGACTGGGCTGGAGACGCCTGTAGTCCGCGATCGGGCGCTGATAGCGGCAAGAGCGGCGTCAAGTTCGGAGGCGAGCTCGGCCGGAGGAGGCCCGGTAGCTGCGGCGTCGACGGCGAGGGAGCGGTTCCCGCCGCTTGTCCACCCGGAGAACAAGCAGGTGTACGAGCGGGTGGTGCGACACGCAGCGGTGCTCGATCGCGAAATGGCTGAGCTCAGCCGCGAGCGCGACGAGGCGGAGCGAGAGGCCGCGGTGGCCGAGGCCGATGCTGCGGCGCAGGCGGCCGCGTTTGCCGAGTTTGGCGACCGTGCGGCGGCGTGGCTAGCCATGGGCGTGCCGCGGGTGTACTACGCGGCGGCACTGGAGCAGCACAAGGGTGTGGTTGCCGTGGCGCAGCGAATGCTGGAGCGCAAGGTGGCCGAGGCCGAAGCGCTGCGTCGCAAGATCGAGAACATGCTGCTCGAGCGCGAGGTGCTCCGGTGACGAGAGCCGGGCGCGCTACATGCGCGAGATGCCAAAGGTCTTGGTGCCCTCGACTGGCGCCGAGTATGTGGCGGAGAGTGCCATGCCGACGACGTTACGGGTCTCGCGGGGATCGATGATGCCGTCGTCGAGGCAGTGGGCCGAGACGTAGTAGCAGTCGGACTGGTCCTCGACCTGGTCGATGAACTTGGACTTTTGCGAGGCGAGAAAGTCGTCGTCGATGGCGACGCCCTTGCGCGCAGCCGAGGCGCGGACGACAATGTCCATGACGCCGGCGAGCTGCTCCGAGCCCATGACGGCGACGCGCGAGTTGGGCCAAGCAAAGAGAAAGCGCGGCTCGTAGGCGCGACCGCACATGGCGTAGTTGCCGGCGCCGTATGAAGCGCCGATGATGACGGTGATGGCCGGGACCGTCGAGTTGGAGACGGCGTTGATGAGCTTGGCGCCGTGGCGGATGATGCCCTCCTGTTCGGCAGCGGTGCCGACCATGAACCCGGTGATGTTCTGCAGAAAGAGGAGCGGGATGGAGCGGTAGTTGCAGATCTGGATAAACTGGGCACCCTTGTTGGCGGCGTCGGAGAAGAGCGGGCCGTTGTTGGCAATAATGCCGACCGGGATGCCGTGGATGGAGGCCCAGCCGGTGACAAGGGTCGGGCCAAAGGCAGCCTTGAACGCACCAAACCGCGAACCGTCGACAATGCGGGCGATGACGTGGCGGACGTCAAACGAGGCCTTGAGATCGGTGCCAACAATGCCCAGCAGCTCATGAGGGTTGTACAGCGGCGGCTCGGGGAGCGCGTGTAGGTGGCTATGCGGCAGCGCCGTCGCCTTGGTGTACGCCACCGTGGCCATGACCGAGCGGGCTAGGGCGATGCCATGAAGCTCGTCCTCGGCGAGGTAGTCGGCGACGCCCGAGACCGAGGCATGCATGACAGCACCACCGAGCTCGTCGTCGGTGGTCACCTCGCCGGTGGCCATCTTGACAAGCGGCGGGCCGGCGAGGAAGACCTTGGCGTTGTCCTTGACCATGATGACATAGTCGGACATGCCCGGGAGGTAGGCGCCGCCAGCGGTGCACGAGCCGCAGACCACAGCGATGGACGGAATGCCGGCCTTGGAGCGGCGGGTGATGTCGCGGAACGAGGCGCCGCCGGCATGAAAGACCTTGAACTGCTGGCGGAGGTTAGCGCCGCCCGACTCGACAAAGGTGATGGTGGGCAGGCGGTTAGCGGCAGCGATGGCAGCGAGGCGGTCGCCCTTTCGGACCGATGCCTCGTCGATGGCGCCGCCTTTGATGGTTGCCCGCCCAGCAATGACCATCGTCTCCACGCCTGCCACCAAGCCGATGCCGGCGACGTTGGCTCCGCCCGGGATGTTGTCCTTGAGCCCGAGGCCGGCCAGCGGGAGCAGCTCCAGGAACGGCGAGTCCTGGTCGAGCACAGCCTCGATCCGGGCCCGGGCATGATCCTTGCCGGCCTTGTGCGCCCGCGCCACCGCCCGATCCGAGCCTGGCGAGCCTGCCTCGCCCAGCGCCTCGCCCAGCTTCTCCACGGCGCCGGCCATAGCCTCGCGCCTGGCGGCGTAGTCGGCCCCGGCTGTGAGGCCCGGCGGCGAGGGCAGGACAGGCAGCGCAACCGAACTCCTTCCTAGAGCTGCCGCCACCATATCTGCGGGAGTGTGTGCGGCCATAGTGGAGGTGTGAGGTATGAGGAGGAGGACGGGAGGGGTGTCAGGCAGAATGGGGTAACTTGTTGTGGTGGTGCTGATGATGCTGCTACCATGATGGGGGTGATGATGATGATGATGGTGATGATGATGATGATGATGATGATGATGCAATTGTTGCTGTTGTTGTTGTTGTTGTTGTTGTTGTTGTTGTTGTTGCAGCTGTTGCTGTTGCTCTCGTTGCTGCTGCTTTCGTTGCTGCTTCTGTGCGTGGTCCATGCCATGGCTGACCTGACCGCCAATTGCCGACGGTTCACCCCTCCCCTCCCCCCCCCCTCCCCCTCCCCTCCCCTCCCTCCACCCCACCTCGCTACACCCCACCCCCTCACACATCATGGCCGAAGTGGAGACTGCGGTTGCGGCTGCGCTTCTCCGCGCACAGGTATGTCCATGCCGAGCATAGGAGCAAGGTTGCCGGGTTGTGGGTCGGTGGTTGGCCTTGTCGGTGGCCTTCAGCGGAAACAGAGGTGGTTTTCGTGGGGAAGGCGGGAGGGGAGGGGAGGGGGGGGGAGGGGAGGCATGGCGGGACGGGGGAACTGACAGAGCGCTGCGGGTTGGCATGGGGCTGGTTGTGTGTGTGTGTGGGGGGTCGGGAGATAGTACGCGGTGGAACAGGACTTGGAGGGCAACCCCAACATGGCGGCCGAGTTCTACCTGGCGGCGTCGAACCTGCTGCACGACGCGGCGTCATCGGCGTCGGTGCCTGCGGAGGAAAAGTCGGCGATTCGCGACGTGGCAAAGCGATACGACACCAGGCTGGGCAAGATGGAGCTCGAGCGGCCGCAGGCCAAGGAGATCACCTTTTCCGAGCGGGCCATCGTGACCATTAACGCCCCGCTGCCGCCGCCCAATGAGATGATGCGTCGCTCGTATTGGCTGATGCGGGTGTGGGCCAAGACAATGGTCTCGGGCGGTTACGTCACGCCACAGCTGTACATTCCGCGGCGGATGTGGTACCAGACCGAGGTGAAGCTCTCGGCCATTCCGCAAAAGATCGACTGTTGCTCACAGGTTCTCGACCAGCTGCTCAAGCTTCCGCAGGAGGACCGCACCAACCACCCGCAGTTTGTCCTCACGCTCGGCAACTTGTGCAAGCAGCTCGACGAAATCCAGCGGTCGCTCGACAAGCATCTTCACTGCGTGGTGGGCATCAAGGAGGACAAGGCCGCCGTCCAGGAGATCCGGACCAAGAAGCAGCGGTTTGCGTCCAAGATGAAACGGCTGGGATCGACCATCTCCAAGGGCGCGACGAGGCTGACGAACAAGGCCTCGGTCGAGGACAACACTGCGTACGTCGAGCTCCTGCTGGAGGTCTTCCAGCGTGCGCAGTTCCTGGACGAGTGGCTCGATCTCTACGCCGCCGACGCCGAGGTCGCCTCCCTCCTCGACCGCATCTCGCGCTTCTTCTACGAGGTTGTCTGCACCTTTGTCCTCGAGGACTTTAACGTTCTTCTCGAGCGCTACATGCGGCTCAACCGCAAGACCTTCCTTCCGTAGCTCAAAGCCTGCCGCCCACCAAGCCTGGAACGAGAGCCCAAGAAGCTCGCGGTTGGTCATCTGTCGAGGCCACGCAGCCGCGTGGCTGGCTCGAGCGGCTGAGCATGGACATGGGTATGGGTATGGGATGATTTCAGTCCTGCGGCCGGACAATTTCACCGTCCACGGTACGGCAGTAGACGTTTAGCTCCGGTGGCTGGCTGGCTGGCTGGCTGGCTGGCTGGCTGGGTGGCCGCGGCGCCCACCGCGTTCGCCGCGTCCACCTGCCGCCTACCCACCTCTCGCTCTGCCATGGCAACTCCAGCCCGCCTCGCAGCCGCAGCCGAAGACGGTGCACGCGCCAACCGTAATGCACGCATAGCGCGCCGCACAAATGAGCTCTCCACAGATGTACCGCCCCCCCCCCCCGCCCCCCCTCCCCCTGTCACTTTGGCGCGAACTGACCCCTCCTCCCCCCGCACACGCACGCAGGTGGCCGAGGCATACACGGCGGTGCGGGTGCACGGCGAAGACATTGCACAGGCCCAGGCGCGGATGGATGAGCAGGTGGCCGAGTTACGCAAGGCAGGCGCGGTGGCGGTGGTGGACGGCGCCGGACGGACGGCGTCGCAGTTGCTCGCTGTGGCTGAGCGGGCCGGAGACGGAGCACGGCGGCGGATGGAGGGTGAGGGCGGGACGATTGCACGCAAGGTCCGCGAGGCGCATGCCGTGAGTGATGCCGACCGAGCTTTGAAGCAGGCTGGGCTGGAGCGGGCGCTGGACGAGGAGCGGCGGGCGAGGAGCTCGAGCGCGGCCGAGTCTGCGGCGCGTTTGGACACGGCGCTGCGGCGGATGGAGGGCAAGATTGCCGACGTGCGGCGGGAGCGGATTGCCGGCCACGACCGAGTTGCTGGCCACATCCGTCGCAAGATCGGCAAGGTCGAGACTGAGCTCAATGCGTACGTGGACGACCGTGCGCGGGCAGCCGAGCTGTTTATGGCCAAAGTGGCAGAGGTTCAGCGGTCGCTCCGGGGCTAGGGTCGGTATGACGCGTTGAGGTACTCGAGGACGGCAGCGCAGCCGTCGCGGACAACGGACGGCGGCATGTTGGTGATGCGCTCGTTGCCGACCAACGTGAGGGTGGTGAGGCGGGTGCAAAGGCCGAGCTCGGCGGGAACCTCGACGAGGGCGTTGGACGCGAGCGTCAGCTTGGTCAGCGACGGCGAGAGAAGCGCCAGGTCGGAAGGCACGGCCACAATGGCGTTACTTGCGAGCTCAAGCGACTGCAGGCATGCAAGCGCGTCGAAAGGAAAGCCCTCGAGCGACGGCAGTGCGTTGCCGGCAAGGCTGAGGTGCTCGAGACCCGCCAGCGGGGCGAGCGCGCTCGGATCGAGACTCGCAATGCGATTGCGGGCGAGGTCGAGAAAGGTGAGCTGTGTTAGCGAGGCCAGCTCGGGCGGAAGCGCGTCCAGCGCGTTGTCGGCGAGCCAGAGCGTGTCGAGCTCGAACAGTGTGGCAAGGGTGGCCGGGACGGCTTCGAGGCCGCAGTCGGAGGCGTTGAGAGCGCGGAGGTTCGCGAGCTTGTTGATGTTGTTAGGCAACGCGCGTATGGGGTTGCCGTCGATAAACAGCGTAGTTAGCGCAGTGCACGAGAGAAGAGCATCAGGAAAAGCGTCCAAGACGTTGCCCGAGAGGTAGAGAGCGGTGAGCGATGCAGCGGCTGGGCCGGTGACGGCGTCGGGCGGAGCTGAGGCGATGCGGTTGCCCGCGAGATGCAGGCGGCGGAGGGTGGGGATACGCATAGCAACGGGCGGAAAGTCAACTAGGGCATTGCTCGAGGCAGCCAGTGCCGTCAGGCCCTTGAGCGCGGTCAGCTTGTCCGGCAACGCGGTGAGGGCGTTGCCATCGAGCGAGAGCCGCTCCAGACTGGTGACGGCCGTCGTCCCCGCCGGCAGCTCTGTCAGCGCCAGCGAGCGCAGGTCCAGGTGCCGCTTGTCCTCCTCATTAGCAGCCGCCACCCGTGCGTCTGCAGTCTCCATGGGTGTGCGCGTGTGAGCTTGTGGGCGAGGCGGTGGGCGTGGTCGGAACAGGCAGGCTGAGGAGTGGGCGGCTTGGCCGACCGGCCGGCGAAGGGCTGGCTGGCAGCAGAGCCAGGCCGACTGCCACCGCCACCACTCGTCGCCGAGCAAAGTGCCATGGAGGTCTCACGGGGACTGACAACGGCCACGCTGGATGCGCTGACAGCACTGGTGGACAACGTGAATGCACTGGCGGCGGTGCAGACGAACAACAAGGAGATGTTCTCCTCGCTTCGTGCCATGCAGGAGGAGGGTATGTGGGTGCGGAGGGTGGGGAGGGAGACGGCGGTGATCGATCTTGGCGGGAAAGACCGTGTGGCGGTGGGAATCTACGGCCTTTTCCTGGCCTTCGCCTTGACGGAGAAGAGAAGAGGGGAGAAGGGTAGGGGGGGGGGGGGGGGTGAATGACTGACGGGCTGTGTGGGCTGGTATGTGTGGTGGTGTGGTGGAGGGGGGTTTACAGCGCGGCGGTTGCAGAAGAAGCATGATGAGCTGGTGGTCCGGCTGCGGAATGTGCGGCGGCGGAGCGAGGCGACGGTCCGGGCGCAGGTGGCGGCTGGTGCGGAGGTTGTTGCGGGCGCGGGCGAGGGTGAGGGCGAGGGAGGACTGGTGAAGGCGGTGGAGGGGGATGCGCTGGAAAAGCTGCAGGACGATGTGGCGCAGAGAGTGGGCGAGCGGGCCGACGAGGACCTGCTGCAGGCGTACCGTCTGGCGGGCAAGTCTGTGTTTCCGGTCGGCGACGACAAGCTTGGCATCCGGTTCGAGACTTTTTACCAGGGCGCGTTCTTCGAGTCGTACTTTGTCATCCTGGCGCTCGACGAGGAGGCGGGCAAGCCGCCGAGCGTGTTCCGGCATACACTCCCGCACTTTCTTCCGCTCGATGCGGTAGCCAGCGAGTTCCTGGGCAAGTCGGTGGCGACGTTCATCGAGAAGGTCTCGGACCTGCTTCACGCGTTTGTGGCGCGGCGTGAGCACGTGCGGGTCCTGCAGGAGATGCACGGCGAGCTGGTGAGCAACGTGGCGACGACGCTGGCATTTGATGTGGTCCAGTTTACTGGCGTCGTACCGTCGGGCGACGGCGACACTGCGGGCGCTCAGGCCGAGTTCCAGATCGTGTACGACAAGCTCGACGACGAGCTGCCGAGCCGGGCGGCGGTGAACCAGGTGCCGAGCCGCAAGCGGCGGGCCGAGACATTGACGAGCAGCGGCGAGCCTGCGGCCAAACGGCTCAAGGGTCTCGAGCGGGTCTTTCTCGAGTCGGCACTTCCGGATGCGTATGCGTTTGTGGTCTCGGGCAGCGAGGCATGAGCAGCGCGTTTACAACAGAGCAGACGGGCTCGGCTAATCGGCCAGATCGCCGATGGCGAAGCGCGGGGCGGCGACGGCGGTGCCCTGGGAGCGGACGAGAGCCTCTGCGCGCTTGCGGGCCTTTTCAGCGCGCAGCCGCTGCTGCTTGACTCTTTTCGGCTCGCGTGGACGCGACTTTGGCGGCGGCGGCGGCTCGAGCTCGCCGGCGCATAGCTTGAGGATGCGATCCATAACCTCCTCCTTGGTCATCCATCCGTTGAAGAGCGAGATGCGGCCTTGCTGGACCTGCCAGTAGAAGGCACCCGGGAGGGTGGGGTGCGGGCCGCGCGGCTTGTTGATGGTCGCGTTGACCTTGGTTCCATCCGGCATTAAACAGCCAGCTAAGTCGAGGCGTGGGTATTTGACCGGCCTGCGGACAATGCGGGCGTGCTGGCGTTCGCGGGTCGATTGGTGGCGCTTGGCGGCCTTGCGTGTTGCCCGCGACGAGCGCGGCGTCCTGCCCTCTCCGGACTTGGACTGAGACTTGCTCGCCGACGACTTGCCGCTCCACTGCCCACCGTGGTGGCGTTTCATGCCCGAGTACGAGTAGATTGGGACGGAGAAGCGGTCCCAGTCGTCTTCGGTGGCGACGATGGGGTGCCGGCGAGCAATGATGCGGATGACCAACGGCTCGTCGTCGGCGTAGTCTGAGGTACGGCACTCGGGCGCGATGGCATAGAACCACGGGAGGCGGACAGGCGCGACGCGTACGAGGCGGCGCAGCTGGTTCCCGTCGGACGACTCGACAAACTGTCCGGCAAACGGCTGTGAGTTGGATGTCTTGGCCCGCTTTGCCGGATGAAGGGGCGTGGTGTCGTCTAGCCGGCTGTTGGGCATGTATCGCGAGCCGTAGCCGAGGTGGCGGAAGAGCTCGTCGTCGGTCGCCTCGTACCGCCTCTGTCGCGCGGCGAGCACCGTGTTCTTGCCGGCGCGGAAAATCCGGCCAGCCGCCGCAGTGTGAGCAGCAACAAGGTCGGCGCAGCCATACTTGGGCACCTTGGCCATGTTGGGGGCGGGAGCGGCGGAAACGGCGGGTCGAGTGGCGCTGCCGGCTCGGCGGCGAGAGATGGACCTGGCGTCACAATAACAGCACGCAGAGGCGCGCCATCGATGCCCACCAGTCGGCAAGCCGCCGCGCCTTCGGCCGGGGAGAGTGGAAAGACCAGATTGCCGGCAGCGTTGGCAAACGGCATGAGCAGCTCGGCAGGGTCGTCGTCGTCGGGAGCCATGTCGTCGTCAAGGACATACAGTGGCGTGGTGAGCGTATCGTAGTCGGCAGCCGAGATGACGCCCGATCGGTAGGCTGTGGCGAGCGCGTCGAGACTCAACAGGGCCTCGTAGCGGAAGCGGGCCATGGCAATGTGTGACCGACGCCCGCGCAGCTCACGCGGGTGATTGTGCTTTCCATACACGGCAACCATGTAGCGGCGCATGGCGCTATCGCGCCGCTGCTGGATGCGGCGATGGATTTCATCGCGCTTCCGGCTCGGCGCCGTGTTGCGCTTGAACAGTGGCCGCCTGGGCTCTGGTGCACACTGGGCCACGATGGACGCGTTGATCTGACGGGTGTAGACGACAGCACGGGCAAGGTCGAGAGGAGAAATCGGTGCGTCGAGGGTTGCTGGCGACTCGGGCCCATACGCAGGAGTCGTCACCAGCGGCACTCGCCGCCTCTTTGCAGGAGCAAGTTGGGCGTGGGTCGCGCGGCTCGCAGTCGGCGACTCGTGGGCGAGCCGAGTCCAGTTGGCGGACGAGGTCGGGAGCGGCTCGCTCAGCTCCATGTCGAGCATGCCCAGGCCGCCAGTGCTCGGCGCCCCGAGTGGCAGCGCATCGTGTGGCAAGAGGCCGTCGTTGCGGAGGCCTGAGAACGGATGCATGAGAAGGTCGTCCGGAGTGGCCGGCGGAAGGCGTCGGACCGACGAAGATTGCAAAGACGACGCGTTGGGCACGAGCTGAGCCGTGTGCACGTCCATTCCACGCGGCGGGACGCCTTGGGCGTCCGCTGGCGTTGCTCGAGTCTCGCCCACGTCCATGGCGACCGGCTGGGTTGCTTGCAGGCTCCCTGTGTCACCTAAGCCCTCTGTGAGCCCATCCTGAAAAATGAGCCTTGGGCGACTCGCAGCCCCCGGAGCGGCAGCAGGAAGCCTGCCACGAAACGTACCTTGCGGCCAGGAGGAGGCGTGCGGGATGGAGCTCATTGCTCCGAGCCCGTGGGTGTGAAAGCCGCTCTGTTCCGCCCAGTACAAGCGTCGCAGTCGCCACCTCGGCACCAAGGTTCAACACCCTTCAGCGAGTCGTGTTGCCACCACCAGCCCCTCCCCGCCCTGCTCTCGCTCCCTTCCGGGGATGCCTCGACCTGCCCTCGCCCAAACCGACAAACTTTTTTCGCAGGCGCTCGCTCTCGCATTTTTTAGCATGCACCTTGGCCATAGCCATGACCAGCAGTTGGCAGGAAGGCCATGCTTGGCCTGTTTGATCAAGCATTCGGCCAGCTGGATGCGTATGGCATAAGGGGGAGTGCCGTGTGTAGCCTGTACTGCGAAGGAGGATTGTGTAGGAATGGCCAGGGCTTCGTGCACTTGAGCTGGCGGTGTGGTGGTTGAGAGTACGGGGAGAGGCCCGCGCGGACGGCGGCGCGGCGGCAACAGTCGTCTCTGTGCACTCGCCATGCTATCTGCAGCCGAGCAGCAGCTGCTGGACGGATTCCAAGCACGACGTACGTGGTATTGTGTGAGAGCGCATGCGTGTGTGGGTGTGTGGGTATGGGTGGTGGCTCTGCGCTCTGGGCTCGGCAGCCATGGCGGCGGGTGGCTGGCGGCGGTGGACTCACGGTGCCTTTGGCGCGCACTCGGTGGTCGGCTGCAACGCGCCGACAACAGTGGCGGCGGCGCGGGCACAACAGGCCCAGTTGGCAGCGGGAGTGTCTATGGCAAATGGTGCAGTCGGTGGCTCGGTCGGTGGCTTGGTCCAGGCCGTGGTGGGGAGCTCGGGAGGGGCGGGCGGTGTGGAGCTCCCGTACCCTGGCGGTGTGCAGCGTGTGGCCCGTCCGCCGCAGTCGCCGCAGCAGTCGCCGCAACAGTCGCCGCAGCAGTCACAGTCGCAGTCGCGTTCGCATCGGCCAGGTGTGGTGTTTATCCCGCCGTCTGCCGCAAGTGTGGCGAGCGGGGCGGCGCATTCGGCGGATGGCGGGACGGCTGGCTCGTCGCAGCTCGTCATTCCGTTTGCGTCGCAGGTGCAAGGCCTCCGAAGCGGAGCTGAGCCTCCGGCTAGTAATGGACGTTCGAGTCTGGTGGCGGTTCCGCTGCCGTTGGATCCGCGCGAGCGCGATTCGGCTCGTCAGTCAGAGATTGAGGCGTTGCGGGCCGAGCTGCAAGAGGTGCGGGTGGCGTCGACGCAGCTGCAGCATCTGATGCTGGGCAAGATGGAGGAGCTCATTGCGCAAGCGCCTGGGGCGAGCGGCGGGGGTGGTGGGAGTAGCTCGCCGTTGCGACTGGGGCAGTTGCGGCACGACGGAGGAGAGAATGGAGCACGAGCGGCTGGTGCGCCCAGTGACCGCATGGCGGCGCTGATGGCGCGGCTGCAGAGCAACGATATCACGCCGCACGGGAGGGCGCCGGCACGGCCGGTGACACCACCATTGGCGCAGAGCTCGTTTGAGTCGTCGGGCGGGTTGCTCGACGAGACATCGTATGTTGGCTTCCGCGACTCGTTGCTGCAGGGCTCGATTCGCAAGGATGCCGACGGGGTGATGCGGAGCGACGACGGGGTCCTTGTCGTCAACCGCGTTGTCCGACGGGCGGCGTGCTGCGGAAAGTCGTCGTGCGCGTGCGGCGAGCAGGTGTGGAGCCGGTCGCGAAGCCGGTCGCAGCGGCCGGCTCGAAGCAGCGGCCGCAGCCGCGGCCGGCCGGGTGGGCCGGTCACGCCACCGAGGGTCTCGCTCCGGCGGGAGCGTGTCGGCCGCAAGCGAGTGTCAACCAAGCGGGCGTCAGCGTTTGCGTCGCCGGGCAAGGTGCGGCGGTATAACCGAGTAGCGGCGTCACCGCTCAAGCCGCCTGACCGATCGACGTTTGCATCACGGCAGCGCAAGGCCGAGACGCTGGCCAAGGCCAAAGCCAAGACGCGGCATGGAAGCGGCAGGCGGCGCCGGTCGCGCAAGTCGCGCCCTTCGACTGCGCGCAGACTCGACGACTCGTTTGACATGCACGACGTGGTGTATTCGCCACCGGTTGTCGCAGACCACGTGGTCAAGGCCAAGACACGGCGCAAGCCGACGCGGTCGGAGCGGATTGCGCGGCTGCCGCCGCGGGGCCCAGATCCCATTTCGCGTGGCCCGCGAGGCCGGGCCACCCGATCGCGCAAGACGAGCAAGAGCCGCCGGCGAACATCGTTCAAGACTCGGTAGTGGGTGGCAGCGGGTGGCGGCGGCGGAGGTTCGACGGGGCCGCTCCGTCCGACGCCGACGGTGAGGTGATGGGTCGTTGCGTTGCCGACACGGCAGGAGATGACTCTATGCGGCGGGCAAGAGCACGCCAGCGGCCGATGGAACGAGCCTTGCGAAGCGCACGACTGCGTTTGGCCCGCATCGACACCCGCACCGTGTGGGTGTGGTAGGCGGCATAGAGGCGTGAGCCGAGATAGGCAGCAGCACCAAGGATGGCGCCAAAAGCGAAGAGAGCGAGCAGGCGCTCGCTAAACGACGGTTCGCCGTCGACCCACACACCAAGAACCGAAGTGAGGCCGCCAAAGTACTCGAGCAGCGCGGTGCCGAGCGAGACGAGGACCTCGGAGCCGAGAATGTAGTTGATGAGATTGAGCGACTCCTTTTGGCGAGCCTGCTGGACCTGGATGGCAATGTCGTTGGCTTCGCGGACCCGGGCTTTGACGCGGTCCATCTGTGCAGCGGTAAAGGCCTGGGCATTGTCGAGATCGAGGAGGCGTATCATGGTGTTGAGAACTTTGCGCGAGTGCTGTCGGCGGTTGATGAGTCGCTTCTCGTAGAACTGGGCGGTGAGCGAGGACATGACGTCGTCAAAGTTGCGGACGCGGTCGATTTCGCGCTGGACCGAAGAGATGTCGCCGACGTCGATCGAGGTCAGCAGCCGCTGGACCGTCGACAGCTCGGCATTGAGCAGGTAGAGCATGAGATGAATGGCGCGAATCTGTAGAATCTGTCGGATAAAGTGCTCTTCCATGTACCCGTGGTGCTTGGCCCACTCGTCGGCGGTCATGTAGATGAGCGCCGAGTTGGGCCGGATGAACTGCAGCTCCGAGAGCCGATTGGTGAGGTTGCCGGTCACCCGCGACGCCCACAGCTCGTCCGAGTAGTTGGCAAAGCCACCGACGTAGAACTGTGACCACTTGCCGACGAGCTCGCGCTTGGCGAGAACAAACTCGGGCGTCCACAGCCATTCCCAGTGCGGCGAGTGCATGGCCTCACCGTGCGTGTCGAGCAGCTCGGTGGCGATGGAGACCAGGTACGGGGGATTGTGCGCGTCGAGGAACATGGCGTCAGCAGATCCGCGCGCAGGGGTGGCGTATATCGCGTTAAACTCGGCAACGAGTGCGTCGATCAGCAGCGTGTGTCGGTAGAGCAGGCCGCGGGCCCGGAGCGCCTCGCCAGGCATGGCCTCGAGGCAGATCTCCACGCACGAGAGGGCCGAGAAAGTGGCATCCATGCACTCGAGGCTCAGATCGTCAAAGATGGTGAGAACACGCGCCGATACAACCCTCGAGCACTCACCGAGCGCAGCATGTGGTGTCTCCCGCGTCTCGAGCACAGCCTGGGCAAAGGCGTGTGGCGATGACGGCGTCGGTCCACTCATGCTCGCATGGCAGCAGAGCACATACGCCCGCGACGCCACCATAAAGTCGGCCGCAGGGAGGTATGCCGTATATGCCGCAGCAGATGCCGTTGGGTTTGGCGAGGTGACGCATGGTGTTGTGCCGGTGGGCATGGGTGGGGCTGTGGGTATGGCGGTGGCCATGGGGCGGGGCGAGGGTGCAGTGGTAGTGTGGTGAGTGTGAGTGTGGCACGGCGAGCCGAGTGGAAGTGGAAGTGGAAGGCGCCGGAGGGTAGTAGCGGCTGGAATGGGGAGGAGGGGGGGGGGGGGGGGGGGGGGGATCGATGTGTACGGTGGGTAGGATATGGCCATCAGAGGTGGATGGAGGTGGTGGGCGTGGCGTGCATGACGGCATAGCAGTGGCTATTGACCTTGTCCACGGCAGCGGGTGAGGACGAGGTGAGGCCGACCGAGGCGTCTGCGAGATGGGGAAGGTTGAGGAGGGCGAGCATGGCCGTATCGGTGAGCTTGGTACACCCTTGCAGGCCGAGATACGTCAGATGAGGGCAGCCGTGGACGATAGCGACGACACCGGCATCGGTCACGCTCTCGCACTCGAACAGATCAAGCGAGGTGAGCAAGCTGCAGTGTGTAGCGATGGCCGCCAGCGCCCCATCGGTGATGAGTGGGCATGCCGAGAGAGTGATGGAGGTAAGATGCGGAGCAGCAGCAGCTAGGGCAGCGACGCCGCTGTCTGTCATTTGTCCGCACCAGGCCATGTCCACCACTCGCAGCGCCGGGCAGCTCGTCACCACCATCGCCAACGTCGCGTCGTCGGCCTCCTCAGTATTGGCCAGGCGCACCGTCGTCACCGCCGGGCCCAGTCGCGCTTCAAACTCGGCTGCAGACTCGCCGGCCTCCCAAACGACCTCGCTAAGCTCTGCCATGCGTGTAGCAGATGGCACCTGCGGATGTCTATAAAGTCAGGTGTGTGTATGTCATGGTGTGGTACTGACTGTTCACATGATCTTGGTGCGGTACGTGGTTGGTGAGACGCCATGGGCGAGGAAGATCGGCAAGCCGATGAGGAGCGCGCCGCCGAGAAGATTGCCTGCAATGGCGGCAGGGAGGTGCCATGCCCATGTATCGCCCCAGGTGATCGGCGAGTTGCCGTTGATGAGCGAGAGCGCAAAGTAGCCCATGTTGGTCGGCGAGTGGGCTGCGCCGAGGACAACAAAGGCCATGACCGGGAGGAAGATGCCGAGGACGATACCCGGCAGTGTGCGCGCCACAGTTGCGTTGTACGCCGCCATCCCTACCAGCAAGTTGGCGATCATGCCCCAGACCACAAGCGAGAACCAGCCGCGTGCGCCGCTGGCCCAGTACGGGCTGACTTTGGCGAGGACGATGGCGTCCAGACGAGCAGTCGAGTGCGCGTCGAGCAGTGAGCCGGCCACGAACAGAGCGCCGGCAAATAGCGATCCAAGGTAGTTGGCGACGATAGAGACGAGCCACATAGCAACAGCACGTTTTGGGCGAAAGACGCGGGTCTGGAAGTTATCGATCGCGTTGCTCACGCGGCCGCACCGGTGACCGAGAGCAGCCACAGCCGCATCCCAGCCGCCACGAGCGAGAAGATACATTGGAATGGTGATGCTCGACGCGCTGAGGAGGAGCGATCCGGAGAGAATGACCATGGAAACTGCAGTAACAAAGCCGAGGCCTGCCATGAACGCCTGCGGGCCGTGGGCCTCGACGCCGGCCGAGAAAACGGTCGAGAGGAAGGCGCCGGTGGTGATGAGGACGCCGGCAAGAACGCCACGGACGATCCACTGCCAGAGGCACTCATCAAGGCTGGCATCAATACTCTCGGCCATCGCACGGATAACTTGCTCGGGTGTGCGCATCATCGGAGGCTTGGCCGCCACTGTCGCCGAGCATGACCCATCGCAGTTGGACGATGAGCAGCACGAGGCGTCGGACGAGCACGAGCATTGCGAGGCGTCGGACGACGCATAAGATGTGTCGCCATGGTCAGTACTTGACAAAGGCGACATGAGGTGTAATTGAGGGGCAGAGAGGGCTGTAGTGCCGTAGGGTGTGGTGCGAATGTGTCTCACGTTCGACAGCTGGCGACACGGTGGCGTGCCCTCAAGGAACGATTCAAGAAGGAAGTTGCGAGCCAGTCTCTGTCTGGAGCTGCAGCGAGCAGATGGGCGTACTTTGACGACATGGCTAATGTCTTGGACATCACGCAAGTGTCTACAACTGAGAGCGCCATAGATGTGAGCGTGCCCATCGCCGAGCTGCAAGGGGCGATGGTGGCAGGCGACGCCAAGCAGGCGTCCAGGAAGGTCGCGATCGCGAGCTTGCGCGCGTGCAAGAGCAGCCGCAAGCGCTCGCGCACTCCGGTCAAGAGGATCAGAGCCGAGGGAGAAGCTGGGGATGAAGATTTCGAAAGCCCACGCAAGCGAAGCACAACAGGAGCGAGGCGGAGCCGGCTTCAATTGCGCCCCACGGTATCGTCGCCTCCATCTAGTGCAGTTTCGGAGCTCGTGGACTTGGCAAAGCGGGCCGAGGCGCGAGCTGTCGCACGTGATGAACAGCTCCAACGCCTGCGCGAGCTGCAGGAGACCCTTCTCCAGGCACAGCTCAAGGCACTTGAGTGACCTCGTCACTGGTTTCTTCCCCAGTCACCACACGCTCAAGCGGTGTGCATACCCGCTGCAGAAGAGCATCGAGCCTAAAACAAACGTGTACAACGAGCCCGTTCTTCTGTGTACTGGAGAACGGGAGGCCATGGTGCATGATCTTCCAGCGCGACTTGCTCACACCAAAGCGCCGCTCGATCGGATTACGCATGCAGCACTGTGGGTCCGACCGAGAGAGTGCGCCCCTACGAGGCTTCACGAGATACTTGTAGCGGCTTCTGTCGAGCGCCCCATCGGCCAGCACACACACACCACGCCCAGTGCTCTCCATCAAGTGGCGATCGGGATCTTTCGCAAGTTTCAGCAGCGGGAACATCGACGAGTCAGATCCACGCCCGGGCACGGGCCCAACCAAATCCACGATCTTGTCGTTGTACACGTTAACTACGGCGAGGAACTGCAAGGACATGAATCCCTTGTAGCAGTAGTAGTCAGTGGGGTTGTCGCCGGGAGGAGCCTTCTTGAGCCGAATGTGAGTTCCGTCGACAGCGAACAGAGCACGACGCAAACGACTTGCGTACTCATCCTCTAGCACATCACCACGCGCTGCAGCCTCATCGATGCGCGTCAATACCTCATCCTGGAGGTTCGTAATGTCGTCGATCATCTCGTCGCGGGAGGGGTAGCTGATCTCATCGCGCAGGACATCAAGCAGAAGCAACATGTCGTACTCGAAGAGCTCGGTACACGTAGTGGCGCTCATGTTGAACTGGATTTCAAGCTGGGCAAAGCTGGAGAAGTTGTGTGCAAGAGCATAGAGTAGGACGAACAGCCGCTTCTTCGGGTGCACCATCGGCCGCCCGCGCTCGCCCGTAGCAACAGTCGTTTGCTCGTAGTACTCACCAGAAACACTAATGGGAACATCCCACGTCTCGTCGTACGCAGCAGCACCGAGCATCATGAATACATCCTTGGGCATCCGCACGTAGAGCATGAACGAGTCGTCGGTTCCACGCAGCAGAACCGATGCTGCCAGATCGCCGGACACGTCACGCCGTTGACGTCCAGTTTCGCTGAAGCGGTCGCGCAGGGTAGCCCTCCCATACACTGCCTCCGGATCACCGCCTCGGACTCCCGGAACGCCCAGATCCATGTCGCTCGTCGTCGACAAGCGCGCCTCTTCCTCGGCCACGGCAGCGGCAGCAGCAATGAGAAAGAGTTGCTCTGCATCGGCCTCCGCTTCCTCCAGCTCCTCCACTTCCATCTCAATTGCACGCAGGGCCTGCGCAGGACTTGCTTGTAAGCTTAGTTCCGCCATCTCCAGCGAGCCTGTCGAGAGGGAGAAGGGCAAGTGTATCGACGTTCAAGTCGGGTGCCACTCCGCCCGCCAGGGCCGCCACGTCGGCTGTCGCCCCACGAAATTGACAACAACGAAATTCAATCGATTCGCTCGTTCCCTCGGTGGTCAATTCTCAAGTGGCTTCCATTCCGTTGCTCATTGTGAATTGTGATTTTGGCTGGGAATAAACGTGGGAGCCCTCATTGCTGAAAAGGATGAGTTGCGTGCAGTGGGGCACGTGCCCACTACGTGCGCTGGGCGTTGACCGAGTCGCAGTCAAAGTGGCGTCGGAAGCGCATTTGCTCGATCGGCGGATGCTGCGCCGACTACATGTTGTGGGGCCGATAGTGTAATGAGCAGAGGGAAGGGCGCAGGGGGGCTGCATCAGGCGACGTCAACTGCTCACATGAGCTTGGTGCGGTAGGTGGCGGGCGAGACGCCATGGGAGATAAAGATGGGGAAGGCGAGGAGAAGGGTGCCACCGAGGGCGTTGCCGAGAACAGCCGGCGCGATGTTCCATGCCCAGGCTTCGCCCCAGGTGATCGGCGAGTTGCCGTTGATGAGCGAGAGCGCAAAGTAGCCCATGTTGGCGGGCGAATGAGCGGCGCCGAGGGCAACAAAGGCGAGAACCGGAAGGAAGATGCCGAGGATGACGCCCGGTAGCGTGCGGGTGACCGAGGCGTTGTACGCCGCCATCCCGACCAGCAAATTGGCAAGCATGCCCGAGACCACGACCGAGAACCAGCCGCTGGCGCCGTTGTTCCAGTACGGCGAGAGCTTGCCGAGAACGATGGTGTTGAGCCGGACGAGCGACTCGCCCTTGAGCAGCGAGCCGCCGATGTAGAGGACGCCGGCGATGAGCGAGCCGACGTAGTTGGCAACGACTGAGACCAGCCACATGGCAATGGCACGCCGCGGGCGGAAGCGGGCCGACTTGCCGCTTGCGCCGCGCCCCGATGGCGCGGTCGGCGCGCAGCCGAAGCAGCCGGCGGCCGCATTCCAGCCACCGCGGGCAAGGAGATAGGTGGGGACAGAGATGTTGACTTCGGTGAAGAGCAGCGATCCCGAGAGGATGACCATGGAAAAGCCGGCGACAAAGCCCATGCCTGTCAGGAAGGCTTGCGGGCCATGGGCCTCGACGCCAGCCGAGAAGACTGCCGAGAGAAAGGCGCCCGAGGTGATGAGGACGCCTGCAAGCATGCCGCGGACGATCCACTGCAGCATTAGCTGATCCAGTGAGGCATCGACATGCTCCGCCATTGCCCGCACAACCTCGGCCGGTGTCCGCAGCACAGCGGCCTTGCGGGCCACCTCGGTCTGCTGCGCTGTGAACTCGGGCCAGCCGGCGCTCTCGGCGTTGCTCCCGCTCGTTGTGGTCGCTAGGCTCCCATACGACCCGTAGCCATCACTGTAGCGCGACGCTGTCGACATTGGCGGCAGAGAGAAAGACAGCAAGAAGTGGCTGTGGCTGTGGTGGTGACGGGGCGGGTCGGGTGCTCCGTCCCGAGCAAGCGTGAGTGGCTGCGGTGGTGGAGGCGTGCGGGCGTGGGATCCTCACCGTGATTGCGGTTTGCATGCGAGTGGCTGTTGGTTTGGTGGGGAGGGCGAGCAAGGACGGAGCGAGGCTCGAACGGAGTCAGTACATGTCGGGATCAATGGTGGGGACAAACGGGGCAACAAGGAGCTGGACGTCGACGAGATCGGTCTCGGAGGCGACGACATGCTCGGCGAGCCAGGGGTCGTCCTCCAGCAGCTCTGTGGGGAGTGGGCGCTCCTCCGGATCAAGGGCGGTGGTCTCGAGAACAAACGAGAGGTAGTCGTCCGAGTAGGCGGCCGGACCGATGGCGATGTTGCCGTTTGCAATGGCCTGCAGAAGATGGAGCTCGTTGACGTTCTTCTTGGGGCCTCCATGCGAGGTTCCGTTGATGGGATGGAAGCCGAGGGCGAGCTCGAGTACGGTGAGGCCGACCGAGTAGACGTCAGCCTTGACGGTGTACGGATACGGGTTGCCGTTGTCGTCGGTCCGCAGCTGCTCGGGAGCGAGGTACTCGAGGTCGCCGAGGAGCGAGTTGGCAATCGAGGCCTGAAGGTTTGCGGCGAGGCCGAGGTCGACGAGCTTGGGTATGCCCTGCGAGTTGAGGAGCACGTTTTCGGGCTTGATGTCGCGGTGCATCATCTTGATGGACTTGAGGAACGAGACAGCCGAGACTAGGCAGTACGCGATCTTGCCGACAATGGCTTCGGGCAGCGGGTACTCGGTGTTGTCGATAAAGGACTGCAGCGTGCCGGCGTTCATGTACTCGGTGACTAGGTGGATATGGCGGTGCCAGTAGAAGCCGCCGTAGAACTTGACAATGAACGCCGCGCCGGGCTTGTACGCCCCGTCAAGCTTGTCCGAGATCGAGGCAAGAAACAGGGCCTGGAACTCGGAGACGAGGTGCTTGCGGGCCGAGTCGGCCATGATGACCGACTCCACGTTGACCCGCTTGAGCGCGTACAGCTTGCCTTGCGACGAGTCGCGGACCAGATCAACCGTGCCAAACTGGCCGCGTCCCAGCTGCCGGAGCGGCTCACACGACTTGGCACCCACGCCGGTAAACCGCACACTCACCGCGTCCGAGTCAAAGTCTGCCAGCGTCGACATCAGATGCGGCGAGTTCTTCAGCTTGGCATCGAGCACGATGCAATATATGTCGTAGTCTGTAGCACGATCCTTCATCTTGGAGCTGTCATTCCCAGCAACGTCAATCGACCGTCATCAACCACGTGAGATCATCCGTCCGCCGTCTTTCTACCCCCCCCCCCCCTCCCTCCCTTGGCCTCTACCTCCTCCTCCACCTCCGCCGGCCACGTACAACGGAATCTGCACCCCATGCTCCGACAGAGTGAACAACCGCACCTCGTCCTTGAAGATCCGGCCATCCTCCATGCTGTCCACGGCCACACGTCCATCCCCCCGGCATTCTACACCGTAAGTACCCTATGTCTGTCCCCCTTGCCCATGCGCCCATGCCCCTCCCTCACATCACCTCCACCATCACCTACATCCCGTCCGAGCTCTCGTCGTCCGAGTCGGGCATGACAATGCTGAGGCCAACGTCCAAGCCAAGGTCAAACTCCCCGCTGTCCATTGTGCCTGCTCTGTTGCTCGGCGTCCCCTCGCTAACCTCTATGCGGTGAGGTGACCCTGTTGGCGGCAGCTGCCGTGGTCGTCGGCCTAGTCGCTGTGGCCGGCAGCCGCCACAACCGCATCTTGACCCACATCCCGTCCATGCCGTTGTTGAAGTAGCGGATGGCCGGCCGGCACGCTCATTCGCAGGGCAACCGGGAGCAGGTACCAAGCCCCACTCTACATGGCCATGATCGCTTTATCTCCGTCCCAGCTCGCTACCTCGCCCGCATCCCGCCCATGCCCACTATCCTTGTCCACATGACCGGCTCGGCCGCAACACACGTTTGTCGCACGCTCCGCCGCACCAGCCGCGATCAGCCGACGGTAGCCAGCCCGAGGCATCCCCTCCCTCCCCCCACCAGCCCCATGCCAGTCCGTGATCATTGCCCGCCCACGTCCATCACCACCTTTACAATGACAATGCCAATGCCAATGTCGATGGCAATGCCGATCACGACGCTGATTGCAGCAACATACTCGACAGCGATCACGATCACGATCACGATCACGACCGCGATCACGATCGTTCCAACCCCCTCCCTCCCCCCCCCCCCCGCACACACACACCGTACCCCCACACACACCTTCCTCGCCCGCCCACTCCACTCTCACACACTCGCATGGCATCTAACAACCTGAGCGTGGAGGCGCTGCCCGCGCCGACGGACGGAGTGTCGTCGCTGGCGTGGTCGTCGCAGGACTTCCTCGTCGCCACCTCGTGGGACTGTGAGGTCCGGTGCTGGCAGGTGGGCGGGGCACAGGGGGCAGTGCCTGTGGCGTCGTCGTCGCATCAGGCGCCTGTGCTGTGCTCGGCGTGGGAGGGCTCGGGGAACATGGTGGTGACTGGTGGCTGTGACAACGTGGTCCAGGCGTGGGACCTTGGCTCGGGTGCCACCAGCCAGGTCGGTGAGCACTCTGCGCCCGTCAAGGAGGTGGCCTACTCGGACGAGCTCAACTGCGTGCTCTCGGCCTCGTGGGACTCGACGCTCAAGGCGTGGGACCTCCGGTCGTCGGCTCCGGCCTTTGATCTGGCCCTCCCGCAGCGGGCGTTTACCATGGACGCAACGTTCCCTCTGGTGGCGGTCGGCTGTGCCGAGCGGCAGGTCGTCCTGTATGACATCCGCAAGCTGGGCGTGCCGTACAAGCACTTCCACTCGCCGCTGAAGTATCAGACCCGCAAGCTGGCGGTCTTCCCGGACGCTACGGGCTTTGCCATCTCTTCGATCGAGGGCCGCGTCGCCATCCACTATGTTGAGGAGAAGGACTCGTCGTTCAACTTTGCCTTCCGCTGCCACCGCATCGACAACTCGATCTATGCCGTCAACGGCATTTCCTTCAACAAGGCCCATGGCACGTTTGTGACCTGCGGGTCTGACGGGACCTGGGCCGTGTGGGACAAGGACTCGAAGAAGCGCCTCTACCAGTCGCCGGTCCACGAGAACTCGATCTCCGACGTCGCCTTTTCGCACACCGGTGCTTTCATCGCATACGCCGTCTCGTTTGACTGGCACAAGGGCGCCGAGTTCTACGCGCCGGCCACGGCCAAAAACTCGGTTTGCATTACGGCCACGTCGCCGTCGATGATCCAGCCGCGCCCTCAAGGATAGGGGCAGAAACAGAGTGCGGTAAACAGCAGCGGTGCTGCGGCGAGGGGCTGGCTTGGCAATACTCATCGAGGTGGAGCGGGAATGTGGATCGCCGTTTCGCACACCGGGGCATTTATCGACTTGCGATGTCTCGTTGTAGCTCCCACAAGGGCGCCAAGTTTTACGCGCCAGTCACGGCCAAGCCCTGTGTCACCGTTCATGGTCCAGCCGCAATCACAGGGATTGGGGATGGCAGTGCCGCGGGAGGGGGCTGACATCGCAGAGCTCAGAGGTCGAGCGGAAAGTAAGTCATGACCGAGAGGGCAGCCTGGGTGTTGGACGCGCCCTTGAAGCACGGAGAAATGCGGATCTTGTCGACGGGTTCAAAGAGCTGGCCATCGATGACGATAGGGAACTGCTTCTTGGTGTCCTTGGCCTGGAGCTCGATGAGCGAGGCGTGGTACGTCCGCTCGCCATCCATGACGGCGGACTTGCCCTTTTGCAGCCGCTTGCCGGTGTCAAAGTCGAGGCAGTAGAGCTCGAGCGCCGAGTGCGAGGGCCGCGGCGGAGTGCCGCTCTGGCCGGGCGCAGGCACGTTGGAGACTGTCACGTTCCAGTACTGCTTGGTGGGGATAGGCGGGCCGGGTCGAGCGAGACCCGAGAGCGACACCTCGGAGAACGAGGCGGTGAGCTCAGGCCCGGTGTACTTGAACGACTTGTGGGTGACGACGTCGTCGAGCGAGAGGTGCGACCAGCCCTTCTTGCGGCGGAACGAGCGGGCGGCGGCATTGACGCCGATCTCCACTCGCTGCACAAACGGAATGGTGCGATGGATGGGCTCGCCGCCGCGCGTCGCCGACGCCACCCAGATCTCGCACAAGTAAATGTTGACGTCGAGTGGGTGGATGCCGCGGGTAAAGTACCGCTCGATCTCGTGGCAGAGGAGCTCGCCGGGTGAGAGCTGCGGAACTGGGAGCCGGTTCGGGGCCATGTCCGGGCGGACGCCACCCTCAAACATGGAGACGTCGAGCGTGCCGCCGGCGTCAAAGACGTCGAGGACGGGCGCCGGCGGCGCACCGACGTGTGGCATCACCCGCGCCACCATCTGTGAGAGGTCGAGCATGTGCCGCCCGTACCACCCGTCGAAGCAGCCGAGGAATGAGGCAAGCGCGTTCTCGGTCCCGAACGGAAGCACGTAGATCTGAACCTGAAGCTTGTCCACGAGCTCGGGCTCGGTCCGCAGCAACGCCACGTAGCCAGCAACAACGTTGAGGAGGGTATAATCGGAGCCGCCAACGCCGATCTTGACGATGCGCTTGCCTTGCGGGCGCGAGCCTGACGACTCGCCGTCGCCGTCGCCGTCGAGCCCGTCGGGGTCGTCGTCATCCTCGGGCGCAACGGTGTCGACCACGCCAGCCTGGGCATCGGCATACAGCGCGAGCACGTCGCGGAGCATGCCGTAGCCCGAGGTGACCGGGATGTGAAGCTCGTCGTCGACAGTCACCGCACTCGCAGACACGTTGTCGTCGTACTCATCGCCGAGGACCAGAAAGTTGTACCGCAGCGCCGACGGTGAGGCCACCGCGGTCTGGGTTCCCGGCGTGGAAGCCGGTGGAAGCATGGTGATCGAGTCGCGAATGGCAGTGACGCCGGCGGTGTAGAGCTTCTTGGACTCGGCGACGTCGTTGAGCGCCTCGGCCTTGGCCAGAAGCGCGGTCAGCTGGGTGTAGAGCGCGTCGATGTCGCTCGCGGCGCAGGTCGAGAGACCGAGCGCCTCGGCGTCGACGCCATCGTCGAGGAGCAGGTTGAGGGTTGTGACTACAAAGTGGTACTTGATCTGGGTCGGCGTCGGCCGCTCGGTGGCAAACTGATGCATGAGGTAGCTAAAGTGCGGAAGATTGGGCTCGGAAATGTTGAGAAAGACGTGCGCGAGACCCTCGCGGGCGTCGGCCTCGTCGGCGGCGCCTCGCGCGTCGGCCTCGAGCAGCGACGCGTTCGACCGCAGATACGCGTCGCGCCACATCGAGCCGGGAACACGCAGCTCGCGCGAAAGCTCGCGGAGAAGCGTCTTGGCCACCGACGCGTACGGAAGCGGCCAGAGGTAGAACTGCTTGACCGTGGTGATGAGCGACATGATGGTTGGCGTCGGCAGCGGGTTCGACGTCGGCGTCGCCACAAACAGGCGGATCATGTACAGCAGCGAGAGCAGCCGACCCTCGGTGATGCCTGGGTGCTTGAGGAAGAGCAGCAGGTTGTCGTGCAGCTCCGGCACCTCGTACGACGCCTTGAGCAGACCCTCGAGCGCAATCGACGTCAGCGACTTGGCCAGCGTCTCCGCGCTCTTTTCGGGATCGTTCGGCATGGTCCCGGCCTCGCCGAGCCCGAGCGCACACTGCACCGACGACGCCTGCTCCACAAGCGTGAGCACAACCTTGTCCATCGGCACCGGCGCCGCCAGCCGGGCCACCACCTCGTCCACAAACTCCCGCCGAGCGAGCCCGGCCGCGAAACTCCGGCTGCGATAGTCTTCCCAACACGCGAGCGCCTTGCGGAAGAACGGCGTCTGCACGTTGTACTCGACAAAGAGCGAGATGTAGTGCAGAGTCATGGTGACCGACTCGAGCGTCCGCCCTGCGATGATGAGAGTGAGGGTGAGTTTGGGACGGGGGGGGGGGGGGGGGGGGGGGGGGGAGGAGGGAGGGAGG